TAATCCCCTTTCTCTAGGATAGGGTTTTGCTACTAAGTCAAATTTCTTTACAATTTGAATAGACGATCAAACGCCCTTTCTTTAGATTAGGCATTTGCTCTATAGGGCTACTTCTATAGTAATCTATATAATACCTTGCAAAATAATGAAGAAGAAAAGATGGCGACATGATGATTTGGCAGGGGAAAACTTAAAGACACTATCACTTTCTAGGTATTTTCTATAGTAAAATAATACTAATTACATACTAAAAACTACAAAGGACTCTACTTTTAGTCCTTTTACTACATAACGTACATGATATTAGTCGTTGTAATTTAATTAACTTAAGCAAGTACTACAAACGCGACATACCCGTAGTTGCACATACTAGACACTTGGTATAATTGTAACGAATCCATTTGTGGAGAAGACACACTTCGTGACTTATTGGAAAATATTCGTTTGTCTACTATATCAGTGCAAGATTTAGTTGAATTTGAGCCGAAGACAAAAATATTTAACTCTTCACGCTGTCTTCAGCTCCTGCTTGAAGCCAAATCATTTCTATCGTCACCTGAAAGACATTTTTCTAGTCGTTGCCAATTTCGAAACTATACCAAAGACGCAGAATCTGTATGGATATCCAGGTTTAGTTCAGGAAAGGATTGCATTATAGATATTAAATTAAAAACCCAAAATAACTCATTTGATTACAAAGAGACTCATTTCAACGTAGAATCACCAAATAGAAGTAGTTATGGCGCCTTAGCAATAGGTCATAAAATCCTTGTGTTTGGTGGAATTACTAAAGGTAAATAAAATGCAGGAACTATTCATATTTTTAAACTGCTATTCTCTCGCTTAAGGGCAATACTTACCGTCTATTAATCGTTATTTTGAAATATTAATGTTACGTTGACATAACATGATTATCAATTTTATGTCTTTAGAGAAAATAAAATGAATTACTCTATTTCTAGATAATGTAGATATATTGCGTAGTATCATAGCCTTCGATACTTGCAAAGTTCGATGGAGTAACGCGGATTTGGCGCCACTTCCTAAACCCATTGCACTGTTATCGCCTTGTCTATGTGATAATCGCTTATATATTATTGGCGGTAGCCACGAAAATTCATCAACTGCGACTAATGAGGTAGCCTATCTGGAGAGTGGTAGTGATCACTGGGTTTATGTTTCTCCGATGAATGTTGCCAGAAATGATAGCGTGGTTGCTGTTTTAGATAATTTAATTTATGTAGGCGGAGGCCAGAATGATAAAGGGAAAGTTGACAGCTTTGAAAGATATAACCCTAGCACTGATACGTGGGAATTATTAAATTGGAGCATACCATTTTCAGAATATCCTGACTCTCATGTATTAACAGTTTACAACGGATGTTTAAATTATATTTGGAATTCGTATAGACGTCATCATTGTCATACGTATAACCCAATACAAAATGAGTGGACTGAAGTATCTGCTAGTGCCATTCTTCGTTCTAAATATCGCGTAGGGGTAGACCAATTTAACAATTGCGAATGTCTAAATAAATTATTTATTATACGTGTCACAAACCAGCTTCGTGACAAGGATAACGTAAAATAAATCTCTAAATTACTATAGTCTCCGAGATTCAGTATCCCTTAACTACCTCACAAGAATTTAGACGCCTTTGATTCTACGTTAAAACTACTATACAATTGAGAACTGCTTTATTCAAATATCTGACGGGCTTATATACCCTTCTACAGCAGCTAACATTCACAAGTCATCTTATAAAAATTCTTAGGAGAGATAGCTAGTTTTTCACAGTCGGACTACAAAATGTCCATCCACAGAATCATTTCAGTGCACATTACAGCACAGCATTAAATTTACTGTAACACATTTATAATTAGAGTAATTCCTATAGTAAGTAACTAGTTGTAATATAATATCACTATATTATATTAACCAAATTTAGATAGCTATTTCTTCACGGTAGTTCGTACCGTGACAATACGATAAATTTCAAGTGCTTAAAATGAGTAACATTTGTCAACGACATCCATAATATTAAGCATGGATGCAGTTATTGCCAATATCTGAACATTTTTCTCAGTGATCTTCAAATCTACTCCATAAAAATAGTGAATAATGTCAGCGAAAACATCCTCGTTCAGTTCTTTTAACTCGATGATATTTTGCTGAGATTCTGCCATTTCATTTACGAACATTGCTTGAAAGTAAGAGCTAAACGATGCTAGCACGAAGCGATGGCAATGAAATTGAGCGTCATTGATCTTGATAATAACATCGGAAAAAATTTAT